TGATTTAATTTACTTAATATATGTTTCCTACAACATTCACTATTACTATTAAATAATGCCATGTGATTTTGTCTGAAATTCGTTGTTTAAAAGCAAATATGTTAATGTTCTTATAAACATGCTTTAATGTTTCAAACCCAATTTTAACCCAACTTAATTTGTTGCAAACCCAATTTTAACCCAAATTAATTCTTGAATGCGAAGTTTACAAACACTCACCCTAATTAAACTGCTAAATACTAAATGACAGTACAATAATTTCTTGATCTTAAATTGTGAAATAGGAATTATTACAAGTTATTTAGTATATTTTACATACGTGACTATCACTTAATATTTTATTTTAATAAAGTTTATGTACCTTTATCTTAAATTTTTAGGAAATTGTTTTGTTGACACTCACATGTCCGATACAAATACTTGAACCTATAATTTACGTAACACAGTTTGTCTCCTTTTGCTAATTATTATATCATTGGGCATCATGGGAAGACCTGCTTTTTATTTTATTTTTAAAAATTGTACATGAGTGAGGGCTTACCACTGATGTGGAACTTGGGAAGCCAGCAGGAAGGGTGCTGGGTGGGTGCATTGTATGGTCTGAACCCACACACTTATTGCACGTGCCATGGACTCATATAGCTTTATCAAGTGAGCGGTATCTAGAGGACAGTAGGACATTTGTTTAGTTGTAGAGTATATGCACTTCTTGTGCAAAAGAATAGTTGAAAGATGCCTAGTGCCCTGTCTTCGACATCAGATTTGGTGTTATCCCTCTGGTTATGGGGTTGATGCCGTAATTGTTCATGAAGATCTGATTTCACCTAACATGTTATCAGAATGTGTCCCAAGTTTCTATTGACTAGTATTTAAGTTTCATTATTCTTTGTTAAATACAATTTTCATGCTAGAAAATTTTATCCAATATCTTATAGCCATATATCTATTACTTGCAATTGAGTGTGCAGATTCTACAAAACATTTTCTCAACCGTGAAAAACCACATTGGAACAATATGCATAGTGCTTTTATACGGCTTCAATTACAAAGGTCCAGAGCAGACAAAGTAGAAGATAAGCTAAAAGAAGAGCAAGAAAAGCAACAGATTTCTTCCAAATCTACAGTTAAGAAGGCGGATGGAAATTATGGGATTAGCAAATATAGCTCTGATGATGAAGATACCTCTGATAGTAAATGGAAGTTAGAGTTGGCTTGGCTCTCCAAGACACTTGAACCAGCTCTGCAATTTTGTAGGTGGGCTCTGCCAACAGGTCTGTTAAGTGTTAAGTCATATTGCCATAACTTTTTTCATTTGGTCAAATTTAGACAGTTAGTGTGACTGTAAAATGGTGAGTACTTTCCTTTAAAATAATCTTTTATAAAGAAGTCGAGCCATGTATGACTCAGTTACATTATAGAAAGATGACCTGGTGCATGAGGCTTGAAGACCTTTCTTGGTGGGGTCTAGGGTGGTAGATGTACACGGCCTTACCCTTGCAAGTGGAGAGAGACTATTTCTAAGATTTGAACTTTTGAGGTCACAAGAAAACAGCATTACCATTGTTCTAAGGCTTGCCCCCATGACTCATTAACACAACATGCCAAAATTTATTTATATCATTAACATATGTTTTTCCTGTGTTACATAAATACTACCTGATCATATAATGTCCCAGTTTGATTTACAATAAAACAAGACTGACTTAATTTTCCATGTTATGCAGGATACGAAATTGGAAAGAAACCCCCACCAAGCCATCGATCCCTTACAGAAATAATTGCATGCATCAAAAGGAGCAAGCTTGGAATCCAGGATTGGAGCTTGAGTGACCTTACAATTGGCTTGTATCTGATATATCTTCGTCAAGCTTCTACTCATCCATTTGAAGATATCAAAGGCATTCAGATATTGTCAGAATCAATTGTAACTTCTGAAACTGCATTTTAGTTGCAGAAGGCATATATTATATTTATATGTTCATATGATATTGCGATCTTTCAGTGTTAGTGTTAGCATATTATTACAAGTTTTCATCTTCCAGTCTTATCAATATATCTTACTGGATTTCAGGTTCAAGATCTCATATATCATATTGAGTTGGCTAAAGGCGCTTATAAGGATAGTCCTGTTGTTCTTTCAAGGAGCAGCATGCTAAGAGAAAGTAATGTCAAGAAATTTGTTAAGAATTCCAGTGTAATGAGGCCTGCATATTATATTGGAATTGATATGCGTAAAAAGCTTGTAATTTTAGGCATAAGGGGAACACATACTTTTTATGACCTTATCACTGATATACTTTCCTCAAGTGATGGTGAAGTCACCTTTGAAGGCTATTCAACCCACTTTGGAATTGCTGAATCTGCACGTTGGTTTCTCCATCATGAGATTGAAATCATAAGAAAATGCTTGGAGAAACATGAGGTGGGCATGATCTTACTTCATCTATTTTGTTTTTCATTTCTTTGTTTGTGTTTTTCTCATTCATGGCATGAGATGTGGGGAACTCTTTAATAGGGATTTAAGTTAAGACTCGTGGGTCATTCTCTAGGAGGGGCTATAGCTTCTTTGTTGGCAATAATGATCCACAGAAAATCACCAAAGGAGCTGGGTTTTAGCCCTGACATTGTATCTGCGGTTGGCTATGGAACTTCACCATGTGTCTCCAAAGAACTTGCTGAAAACTGCTCTGGCTATGTGTCGACAGTTGTAATGCAGGTATGTGATAAGATTTGTCAATGTGTGCTTAACAATATTTGATCTGGAAGAAAGTAATTATATTTGTGGTTTACCTGAGATGAGTGATATTCTTTTCCCAGTTTTGTATGTATTTATCTATTGTATTTTCTTATGGCATTGTTTTTCGAAGTGTACAGGATGATATTATACCAAGATTGAGTATAGCTTCCCTAACAAGGTTCAGAAATGAAATTGTTCAAACCGATTGGTGAGTGACATTTAATTTATAATCTTGAAGTAAGCAGCCCCTCCCCTTCTATTGTCCATTGACAGGACATGTTGAAAGCAGCCAACTGCAGCTCTGCAGTAGTTATTCTTTTGTTGTATCGCAATTTTTTTTTTATTAAAAGAGATGGGAAACTCATTGTTTTGAGGGTGAACATGCGTATATGGTGACTGATCATTCTAACAAAATTTCTACTGTAGAGCTTTATTATCTAGAATCTAGTAGGTATCAATAGCTTCCAAAGCTTAATATTCATATGTTAGTTAAAAAACAAAGGGTTTGATCAAGGATATGATTATTTTTCTTCAGGATGAGTGTAATTGAGAAAGAAGATTGGAAAGGCGTCACGGATTTGGTTACAAATGCAAAGCAGGTTGTGTCTTCAGTGCAAGATGTAGCTCAAAAACTTGCTGATTATGCAAATTTTAGGACAAATAAAAGTTTAGCTGGTAAGCCTTTTTGCTTTACTGGTTCAAATCTTAATTGTGTTAGGAATCCAGAATTGAAAAGAGAAAGAAGAATAATCTTTTTTATTGGAAAGACTGAAAAGAACACGAAATATAGGAGAGCACTCTCTCATCCAAAAGGTTTCCCCTTCACAAAGAGCCAAAGCTCAATCTACAAAATTAATCCCAAGTCCCCTGCTTTTCAGGACCCCCAACTATATAAAGGAAACCTCATTCACCCTAACAACCTAACTAACAACTACTTCCTAATCTGTTTCCTTCTATCATGCACACATTATATCCTATCAAATTGTCTCTAGAGGGAACCTAGATTCCTCTTGTACAGTGATGCCATTTCTTCTTTCCCATGTTTCTTCTTTCCCATGTCTTGTTGGGGAATACTTTTCTTACACCACACCTTTTAAGCCCTGTATAGGGGCAGAATTTTATTTCAACCCCTTCCTACTTGTGAGGAGTTGGCATTCATTATGTTCAAGAGTCAATGAGACTTCTTTCTTGTGGCCAAGATAAATTTATGGTGCATCCAGTATTTAAGAAGTGCAAGAAATTTTTGAATGCTTAGACATCCTTTTGGCTTATTTGAACCCAAAAGAAAACATAGAACAACTATTTGATAATATAGACATTGTATTTTATATACACAAAAAAAATGAAGGAATTCTTAACTAAATGTTCGGTTGTTGATGTTTAATGCTTATTTGTGTTCTTTAAATGCATTTATTTTGTGACACGTTTATCATCAGATGTTGTGGTGTGTGTAAACAGTTGCTACAGAAACTCCCAAGCCCTCTAAAGCTGCAAAGGAGAATTCAGTTGCCACGAAAGATGCGGAAGCTAAACCTCCAATAATCGAGGAGTTATTTATACCTGGGACTGTTTACTATATTAAAAGGAATTTGGGATCCAAAACGGACGTCGGAAAGGATTTTTTTACCCTTTACAAGAGGGAACCTGGTGAGCATTTCCAGAAAATATTCTTTTCAGGAAATTTTATTACAGACCACAGATGTGATACCCATTATTATGCTTTGAGAGATGTTCTTAAAGGTCTGCCATGGTGTGGAGAGGAAGGTATATTTAAATAACAAATATTGTAACTTGTTTTTATTTTAAATTATATCATTTGATTGTAATGTAACTGTACATTGTGTAGCTAAGTTTCTGTGCTTAGGGTAAGCATTAGAGTTGTGTATTCTGTGGGCAGGTATTAGCAATAGCACAGTGGGTTAGAAGTTACGCAATTTAGGGTAAGTTAAGTACTATAGAAATTGTGGATAGTTGGTTCTATCCTCTAAAATAACGATGAATTAGCCATGTTAAAAATGATATTCAATCATTGTTGTGTAACTGTCTTGCTTTAGTTTTTGTTCGGAATTTGTACATGCTTATGGTTTGGATCTCGTCCAGTGATTGTTGTGAATTATATTTTGAAGAGATATCCTTGAATTTCTTCATCCCTGTCTTGTATAGTTGTGTATGCGATTATTTCAGTTTCTTTTCATTCCGGAAATTAAAAACGAGAAATCCAAGAAACATTGGCAAAAACCTCCAAATTTCCTTAAAGATTTCCTTATTGAGTTAGAAGATGGTAAATGTTCATGATCATTCATTATCGCTGGAGTCTGGCAGAACGGTCAGTTGATTCAAGCACTTAAGCCACTTAGTTAATACCTTACGAGACGGTCATTTAGTACAGAAAATAAATGATTATGTCTTCATGTCTTTATCATCAAACTTAAAACGATGGAACCACCTCGTGCAATACTCCAACAATCTATCTTCGTCTTAGGGACAAGTCTCAGGAAAAAGCCAACACCCGTAACGTTGAATATCTCCATATTATATGAGTTTTTATATACTTTTCTTTATAAGTTATATATTTATTTCTTTATATTTATTGTTTTATACACTATATATCCTTACTTCGTTTATGAATGAATTATATTTTTCTAAGTAATAATTTTATTTGAAAACTTATTTATAATCAAATACATGTTATTCTATGTATAAGTTTTATATAATTATTATTATTATTTGAATTAACTTTTTATTTTACTTTACTTTTTTCTATTTACTCATCGTTAGTTGTTGAAGTCCAAAAAATGATAGACATATATATTGAATACGACACATATATTAAAAATTAAAAGATATATTATTAATCTTGATGAGTTTAAAGATTAAAAGAGATATTATTAATAGAGAAAATCATTATTAGGTATTTTAGACATTTTAAAAGATATTTTAAGATATTGTTAATTAAAAAATATCTTAAGATTTATTGAATGTAATTAAATATTATTAGTAGATAATAATAATAATATATTATTATAGGCTTATTATAATAAATTAGAATAAAATATATTATTATAAGTGAGAAAATATTATAATAAAGTTGGGTTGATTTATAAATATTAAGATATAGAGAGAAGGTGTGTTTTAGAAATTCTAGAAACTTTAAATCAAAGAGAGGAAACAAGAAAGAGGGAGATAGGCGTTTTTGGGAGAAGAAGAGAGAGAACAACAAGAAAACCTTAGTGTAAAGGGGAGATTTGTGGTGTTTTTGAAGTTAGATAGAACTCTAATATTGGTCAAGGTATGGAGAAATTTATCTTTGTTTTTCTTGTTTGATTGTTTGATGAATGTGAGTTTATTCTTGATTTTTTTGTTTTAGTCCAATTTTGATGTGTAAATTAGATTTGACAGTACATAATGAAACTACTAGGTTTCAACACTTATTGGATTCCGAACAAACTATTAAGTTGTCATTGTCTAAAGTAAGAACCATAAATTGGGATTAAGCTATGATTAAACATAATGAAAACATAAAGTTTTAAAACCATATCAAAATACACTAAGTCATCTTAAGCTCATTCTTAGATGTTTAGGTAGGCTATTAGATTTCTTTGGGACAAGAAACCACATTTCTAAGTGTTGAAAGTAACAAACAACCACTTTGTCTTTTAATCATACATTTTTCCATACTCAAAACATTTATGACATACCTTATTTTTTGACATTGTTCAAAGTTAAAAGGTGATCATTGCATGGTTCCACTCTTTCCATTTCCCACTTTCCTGAAAGTAACTGTAGAACTAATTGAGTTTGACAACTCATTTTGAGTTATAGAACTGATTTTGTAGATGAATGTTAACTCATCTTTGTGTGACTGAACATTTTTTTGTTTTGGCTTGTCACAAAACATGGCTGAAGTTCCCAACCACCATGGGTGGATGTATGACCATTATTATAGTGGCAGGAGAGGTTTGAAGGAAACTTTTGTCCAAGGAGTTGAAGAGTTTGTCCAGATGGTTTGACGTATAAATATTATGCTCTTGATGGAGGGATTCGATGTTCATGCATGAAGTACGAATGTACATGAATTTTGAAAGATAATGTGGCCAAAATTCACCTATACCAAAAAGGTTTCCTGCCAAATTACAAGATTTGGATATTTCATGGTGAAGAAATACATTCTACCTTCGAATACTTTTGTACGTACATCTGAGATAGATCAATTTATGTATATGCAAGAGATGGTCAACCATGCTCCTAGTAGACATGTTGAAAAAAAAGTATATGATAGTCTTGATGAAGAGTCTCCAAATGAAACGACTCAGAGGTTTTATAATTTATTGGCAAAGGTAAATCAACCTATATTTGAAGGGTCAACTACGTCAAAATTGTTATTGTGTATTAGACTCATGGCTTGTAAATATAATTGGAATGCTCCAAATCAAGTCTTGGACTTCATTACAAAACTTTTTTTAGATTTGACATCACCAAACAATTCTTTGCCGAAGAATTATTATAAAGCCAAAAGATGTGTTTCAAAGCTAGGGTTGGAAGCCAAAAAGATTTATTGTTGTGACAATGGATGCATGGTTTTCTATGACAATGACAATGACAAAAATTAGCATCCTTGGTCGAATACAAGTTTTGTAGGCAGCCTCAATTTCAGACAATGCATGTAGGTCGGAGGCAAAAAAACCCAATTCCATTCAAGTCCACGTTCTACTTGTTGATTATTCCAAGATTACAAAGAATGTTCGCTTGAATGCAAATAGCAAAATACATGACATGACATGATGGTAACAAAAATCAAGGAAGTGTTGCATCATCCTTTTGATGGTGAAGCTTGAAAGCACTTCAATCGTAAACATCCATCCTTTTCCAGTGATGCCCGTAACGTGCGACTTGGCCTATATGTGGATGGGTTTACTTCGTACAATCAAGCGTTCACATCATCATATTCATGTTGGTCGGTGATTGTTACCCCATACAATTTTCCACCTAAGATGTGTATGACAAAGCCTTACATGTTTTAACGTGTCTAATACCAGGTTCATCTAATCCGAAGGCATCAATTGATGTTTCTTTGAAGCCTTTGATTGATGATTTAAAGAAGTTGTGGAGTGGTATTTGGATGTATATGTTTTAAGGAAGTAAAATTTTCTTATGAAGGCCATCATGTAGGTAAAGAGTTGACTCATTAGTTAACTGATGCTAAATTTAACTTTGTGCGTGTCCATGTGTTAATAATTTATACTGAAGTTAAACCCTACCTTGAGTATGTCCCAATCTCATTTCTTAACTTAACAATTTTGACATTTCTATAGTAACTTATTGTGTTCAAATTTTATAGCTCGTTTATTGTGGTTGAGCATATCCCAAAAGGAAGTGTTTCGGCCTGAATACATTCAAAGTTTCCTTATTGGTTCAGATATCAAGTATGTATATGTTTCCTACGATTAAATAAAGATTTTTTATTACAATTCATGTAAGTTTTCATTATGGCATCCTTGTAAGTTTATAACCAGCCATTAGCTCCAATAATTCAAGATTTAAGGAATTTGGCAAATTGGCCTACGAGATGCGTAAAATAGTGGCACACGTACTTTGTCAATGAGTATAAATTTCACACACATGCATGGTCCAAAGTAAAGAAAACAAGTAATTATTGTGATGTGTATGTCAAGAGCATCACAAAGGGTGATTACAATGATTTCTATGGGATGATACAGAAAATATACCTGTTAGAGTACAACACTTGTAGTACTCCAAAAAAAGTAGTTCTTTTTTATTGTGAATGGTTTAATCCTTCTTTAAGTAGTACAAGAGTGGATCCCAGGTTTAACATTATCGAATTGCAAATGAGTTTACGATACCGACCGTTTAATCCATTCATTCTAGCAAGTAATGTTAGACAACTTTATTATGTCTCATATCTACCATTTCGTAGTATCGACTAACGTGGTTGGTCTGTTGCAATACAAATGAAGCCTAGGGGTTGCATTGACTCAAATGACATTGAAGAAGACATTGCCTATCAAGTTGACCAAATGTCAATGCCAATCAAGTATTGAAGTTGAATGTGTATCAGGATTGCATGACCCTGATGCTGATGTTGAAGAATTACAAGGACAAATACAAGATGATGATGATGATGGAATTAACCGTTATATTGTGCTTTGTACAAACTCTAATTTAAAAACACATGATGTATTGTATAGCATGCTCAAAAGTTGTATGTGTAAACTCCTCATTCACTTAATTTTGAAAAATATTGGATATCCATCTTTTGTGGCATAAGTCAATCATTTCATTTCATTTCTAGNTATAATATTATTAGGGTTAAATATGTTTTTAGTCCCTTAACTTTTAGTGAAAATTGGAATTAGTCCCTCTTCAAAACTTTATCCTAATTTAGTCTCCAAATTTTAGAAATGTGTGACTTTAGTCCTTTTAACTAAATTTTGTTAGGTTTATTTGATGTTTCAAGTGCGTTTTATGATAGTATTTGAGTTGTTTATACCATTTGACACATTTTTGCTTCAATGTTAACTAATTGAAACATCAAATAAAGTTATCAAAATTTGGTTAAAAAAACTAAATTCACACATTTCTATAGTTTTGGGACTAAATTAGTCCAAAGTTTTGAAGAGGGACTAATTCCAATTTTCACTAAAAGTTAAGGAATAAAAACATATTTAATTCTAATTATTATGTTAATCTAAATTAAAATTATATGTATTAAATATTGTTAAAATAAATAATTATAAACTATTACGATTTTATAGATTATAAGTTTTATTAATAAATATTGATAATATATATATATATATATATATATATATATTTCAAATTGAAGTATATATTCATACTTTTCAGGATTCCTAAAATGCATACGCTATAAAAAAAATTATGAAAAGAATTTCTGTCACTAATTCTATGTTCTCTCCTTATCTTTCTGCGTTTGCACGAATTGTTTTTCCTAGACCAATTGTTAAGTTTATTAATCTAATTGGACTTTCATAAACATGATTTTCCAAACAAGACCACATTAGT